GGGCCGGACGCCTATGGACGATGCGTGTGTGGGGCCGGATAGAATCGTGGCAGGCGGCGCTGGGGCTGATGCGCCTCACCCAGATTAGCCTCTGTAATCCTCACAGCCCTGTGAAGCGGGCACTGCCGTGAACATTTTGTAAATAAGGGACCCGAGGCTCAGAAAGGTGAAGTAACTTTCCAGACGGCCCAGCTTGTCAGCGTCCAGCATTTGAAGTCACACCCCAGAGTCTGTTTTTATCGTAATAGCCGCTTTGACCGGATAACCAACGTGTGTGTGTTGAAGTGATCAGATGACCATGGAGTGTCTCTGATGTCCAGGACTTTTGAGAAATACTGAAAAAGTATGAGGCAAGGCCCCTGCCTTCAAAGAGCTTGCAAGTTTTTGGGGGAGACTGTGTCAGGCACAAATTAACCAACATCTGTTGAGCACTTGACAGAACCCTGCCCTTCCTTTCGTGTCTTCCTCCCTTCCAGGACTCACCCCCTCACTTACCCTCCCCCTCAATTCTCACAGCAACCCGGGGAGGTAGGCCTTATGGTTTCTGTTTTGCAAATAAAGAGCTTGAGATTGAAGAAGAGTACAGATTGGAGGATCAGGTCCTGAGAGGTCCTATGTGCTTTCCAATAACAGTTCAGTGTGTTAGAAGACAGTATGGCATCCACGGCCGAGTACTACTAGTAATACAGTAATTGCTTTTTACATTTACATAAACAGGGAGAAAGGGAAGGCATTTCGGGTCATTGGGGCAGCCAGGACTTACAAGAGCAGTGCTAGGGTGGCAGCAGCATTCAGGTAGATGGTAAGCAGAATTAAGTTAGAGAGAGAGGATCCTGAGTCTGATTTAGATGTACATTTATAAGGCCCTGTTCTATGGAATGTAGTGAGAAGTGGTTAAATAAGATGAATCCCAGGAAACCTCAAAAGTAGGCTTATAGAGCCCCATAAGGTGGTAGATTGACAATACAGACCTGAGAGCCAGATCTGTTGGGTTCCAAATTTGATTCTTGCACTTACCAGCTCTATGTCCTCAGGCAAGTCATTTTACCTTTCCAAGCCTGACTCCCAACTCTGTAAAACAAGGATAATACCTACCTCAGGGTTATTATGATAATAAAACTAGTATTTATTGCAGGCCGGCGTGGTGGCTCAAGCCTGTAATCCCAGCACTTTGGGAGGCTGAGGTGGGCGGATCAATTGAGGCCAGGATTTTGAGACCAGCCTGGCCAACATGGTGAAACCCTGCCAATACTAAAAATACAAAAATTAGCCATGCGTAGTGGCACACGCCTGTAGTACCAGCTACTCAGGAAGTTGAGACAGGAGAATTGTTTGAACCCATGAGGCAGAGATTGCGGTGAGCCAAGATCTCACCATTGTACTCCAGCCTGGGCAACAGAGTGAGATTCCATCTCAAAAAAAAAAACAAAAAAACAAAAAAACGAAGTGGGCAGGTCATGAGGTCAGGAGTTCGAGACCAGCCTGGCTAATATGGTGAAACCCTGTCTCTGCTTAAAATACAAAAAGTAGCCGGGTGTGGTGGCACGTGCCTGTAGTCCCAGCTACTTGGGAGGCTAAGGCAGAAGAATCGCTTGAACCCAGGAGGTGGAGGTTGCAGTGAGCCGAGATGGTGCCACTGCACTCCAGCCTGTCCAGCCTGGGCAACAGAGTGAGACTCTGTCTC